AATTGACATTTTTGCCTTGGTGAGCAGCAATGATAAAATGCAAATCCTTTGGATTCAGTACCAGCTTGAGGCCCACCTCTCTTTGTGTCTGTGGGCATTTACCTTTCAAATACAAACACAGCTATTGCCTAACAAAAGAGAAAATGTTTTATGGGGTCTGGTTTGAAATTTAAAACCCTCATTGTTCGCTGGTAATTATTGCCCTGACTTGGATGGCCCAGGGCTAGCCTGACCTTGTCGGATCTTTGAAGTTAAGCAGGGTCAGCCCTGGTCAGGGCTTGGATGGAAGACCACCAAGGAAGCCCACGGGTTGCCACAGGGCTGCAGCTTGTTGGTCCTTTCCACCCCCTTTAATTATTAATAGGAGGCTGAGCAATAATGGGTAACTCATATGGCTTAGGCATTACCTTACATGTCTTACTGGAAATTTGGCTTTGAAGACTTTGTTCCAAGGACACTGAAACAAAGTTAAAGTGTGTCTCTTGCCAGAAGGGCTTGGCAACTGGGGGGGGGGGGGTGACTCTAAGTTCCCCTGCTTCTAAAACTTACTTCTTATCACACAATATTCCTATAGGTTTTTAATATAGCTCTGCATTAAAGTGCCTCGTTCTCCCAGTCTATTATGGGTGCTACAAGTTCAGACATCACAAGGCATGTTTATTAACTGGTTCAGATTCCCAGAAGGGTAGCTGCATTTTTGTGCACCAAGAAGGTCCAGTGGCACCTAAAAAGATTTATTATGGCACAACTTTTTGTGGACTGGGGAACATTTCATAAGCTTTTTTCACAAAGACCAACAAAGGTTTATTCAACGTATGAGCTTTCGTGTGTATGCACACTTTTCCAGCTTTTTTTCATGTGCATTCACACTTTTTTCATGTGCATGCACATGAAGGCTCATACCTTGAATAACCCTTTGTTGGTCTTAAAGGTTCCACTTGACTCAAAATTGACTCCTGGGTAAGGTGGTTGAGAGAGTGGTGGCCAAATAACTCCAGGCCTTCCTGGATGATGCTTCCATCCTTGATCCTTTCCAGTCCGGCTTCTGTCCTGGCCATGGGATGGAGACAGCGCTGGTCGCCCTTACAGATGACCTCTGTAGACATCTGCATTGAAGCGGGTCAGTGCTGCTGCTGTTGTTAGAATTAACGGCAGCATTTGATATGGTCGGTTATGATCTTTTGACCCACCACCTCGCCAATGTAGGTGTTCAGGGGACTGCCTTGAAATGGTTCTCCTTTCTCCATGGTTGGGGACACAGGGTGGTGCTGGGTGAGAGGGTCTCCCTGTGGTACTTACTAGAATGTGGAGTGCCACAGGAGGCGATCCTCTCACCAATGTTATTTAACATCTATATGCACCCCCTTGCCCAGTTAGTCAGGAATTATGGGCTAGGTTGCCATCAGTATGCTGATGACACTCCGCTCTATCTGTCAATAGACAGTCACCTGTCCTCCATTCCTGGAAATCTGGCTGAGGCTTTGGACGCTGTGGCTGGATGGTTGCAGCAGAGACAATTGAAGCTAAATCCATCAAAGATGGAGGTCCTATACCTGGGTCATGGGGGTATGGAGGTGAGCAGCAGACTTCCCACACTGGAAGGGGCACCTTTGGTGCCAGCCCAGCCAGTGAAGAGCCTGAGAGTAACGCTGGATTCCTCCTTATCTATGGAGGCCCAGGTTGCTGCAGTGGCCAGATCTGCATTCTTCCATCTTAGGCAGATCAGGCTACTGAAGCCGTATTTCTCTCCCCAGGACTTAGCTACAGTGACCCATGCAATGGTCACTTCCAGGCTTGATTACTGCAGCTCGCTGTACGCAGCTGATCCGGATCTGAAGCTGATCCGGAAATTACAGCTGGTACAAAATGAGGTGGCGTGCCTGCTGACGTGTCGTCCTGTGTGGTCCGCCTAGCCTGAACCAGGGCCAGGGTTTTTTCTGCCCTGGCCCCCACCTGGTGCAACATGCTCCCTACTGAGATCAGGGCCCTGCGGGATCTTATTCAATTCTGCAGGGCCTGCAAGATGGAGCTGTTCTGCCAGGCTTTTGGCTGAGGCAGTGGGCATCCACACATGCCCCCCCCCCGAGGTTGCTGTCTCCCACCCACTAATAACCAGTCATACCTATCTACACCAATGGGCCGGACTCTCCCTACAGCAAGCTATGATTATTGATTTTATATGCTTATAATGTGTTTTAAAATTATATTGTATTTATGTAAATGTTGTAACCCGCCCTGAGCCCATTTACGGGATGGGCATGATATAAATGTGAATGAATGAATGAATAAATAAATACATTTGTTCTACTGCTTCAGACCAACATGGCTGCCCACCTGGATCTATTTTCACAAAGGGGAAAAAAATGGGAATTTTTTTTTGGGCCCTAAAAATACTGATGCACTGATCCCATTCAGTAGATATCTGTGCTAAAATAAAGTTTGTACTGACATCTCTGTTCTCACACAGTCTTGTCTTCGGATTTCATCCTGATGCCCTTTGAAATCAAAGATAATTCAGTGATTGACTTTTATAATGAGGTCTGAACTTTACACTCTTGACACAAAATGTGTGAAAGGGCATTATTTCATTGCTCATATCTTGGCATGAGTAGTTCTAAGGGTCAGTGCTTCCTTACAGGAGGAATGCAAACAAATGCAGGAGGCTAATTTGAATGAGTAACTAGATCATTTTACAGCATAACCTCATTTGCCCTTGGTTCTTGGAGATCACTTAGACTCATTTATCACAGTCAGAAGTTCAGAGTCACAGGACCTCTGATACTACATGTTCTAACGCAGAAAAAGAATACAGGCAATTGGAAAATCTGGACTGAGGACCAGATAATAGAAAATCTGCATGTTGAACAAGGTGTGGTAATTCTACTAACCCTGAACAATAGTGAGTCCATTATTAAAGAAACTATTCTTGGAACCCACAGGACTTAAACAATGGGTGGACTGTAATTTGCATTTGGGGGAGGAATGGTACTCAAGTGTGTGGTTGCAACTGAATTATATTTGTTGGTGGATTTAGTTGATGGATTAAATAGATTGTCTGGATCCTTTTCAGTCTAGTTTCCAAACTGACTATGGGACAGAGACACCCTTGGTCTCCCTGGTATCACTACCTTCAGTGGGGGAGTGTAACCCCATCTAGAACCCAGCAAAGGTCATTCTCAGGAGGCTGAACAAATTTGGGTGTCAAAACCAAACCAGACACAAAACTGAAATGGATATAGATGAGCTGTATCTCCCAAGCTAGTTTAGTGACAGCATTGCTGCTTTAATACTTCTCAGATTTTCCTGAGGAAGCTCAATGTGAAATGCACAGGGGTTATTATTATATTGGAATACAATTGTTTTCCCACTACACCATTGTTTTTTGCTTTGTCTCTCTCCTCTCTCCCAAAAAATCCTGCTTCAAGCACCTGGACCTAAAAGGGGAGAGTTGCAAGTAGTCTTTGGGCTATAGCACATGACTACTCCATTCCATGCACTATACCAGAATTATCAGGCTATAAGAGCAGTAAAGCGTCTGATCCCATTCTGAGATTGAGTTGCAGAGGCCATGGTATCCAAATGAGAGTGGATCTTACCAAAAAGTTGCATCATATCAGACGTGCCAGAAAGCAGAATAGTATTCAGTTCTGTTGCAGAAGCCTGACTATATGATACCATGTGACCATATGACAACGATTGCCATACTAAAAGGAGTGTCATATGATCATCTCATATAACAGAAATGAATCCCAGTACTCGCTAGTAGGCATCTCTGATATGGTGCATCCACTCTAACCTTCCACACATAACTGGAAATGGTATGATCATCTTGCATTGACTTTACTGGATAAAAAGTAAGATGTCAGTTGAGCACAGTAATTTTTTTTCCTTAACTTTTTCAGGCTGTTGTGGGAAATGTTATAAATACCGGTCTTCAACAAGACCCGTGGTTTGACTTTTGTAACACCCCCCCCCCCAAGTATTTCAGTGTGAGGGCCCCCCCCCTCCATGTTATGGGAGCCGCAGGACGTGTTGGTAGCTGATGTTTTCCTGCTCTCACTGACTGTTCCTCCCCCCCCCCACAGACACAGTCCCTAGAGTGTTTATTGCTGACCTAAGAGGGCTAAGAATTCTAGGCTTCTAAGTAAACAGTGAAGGTGGGAGTGGTGGGTTGGCTATTAGCGACTTTTCCTACATATAGAATGCTAGAGCCAAAGAAAAAGGAATTCCTCATAATTTTGTAAAGATTTACGATTTGAAATTATCCAGCACTGGCTTCGTAAGACTGGGCTGCATCCAAATGGAGGGAATGTTCCATTCTGCAGTCATTGCTTCTGCAAATGCAGAGGCATCAATATTGGTAACAGAGTATCCACATGGAAGGCAGTAGTAAACTAGCTTGGACAAAGCATGCTGAGGATGGGGAAAACCTGGTTATGGAATGAGTCCTCAAAACAGGCAAAGGCAGAGAAAAACGTCTATATTAAAGCGGCCTTTGTGATTTTGACTTAGGCCTGGTTCATACATGCAAAAGAATGAGATCACAGGACTCTGAGCTGACAAAATGGACTGCTTCATTTCAGTGTGCAAATGGTAAATTACAAAATCCTTCAAATACAACACCAACATGGCATGCAGAGTGTGGGATTACAGTTCTCTTCATGGTATTCTACTTTTCTATTTGGAGTAGCATTCAAAACTGGCACCTTCACTTGTTGCCTGAAGCTATACTACCAATTCTTTCACCTCAGGATTACCACCACACCTTTCCCACCTCCTTTAGTTGCATGTGTTAGGGAACAGAGTTGTGTAACAGTCATGATGTTTTGCTTCCTCTTTATCATGATTCAGTATGGTTAATTAAATGATGACTGTATTTACAAATCTGAATTTGAAGATTATAATGGTTAGGGTTTTCGATTAGGATAGCAGGAGACGTAGGTTCAAATTCCCACTCCATCCTGAGGCTCCCTGTGTGACTTTCTCTAAGCTTTACTTACCTCACAAGATGGTTTACAGTTGGCGGAAGGGAGGATAAAATTGTGTAGATAATATGGAATAATTTAGCTTGGGGTGGGAGGAAAAGCTCATAATAGTTGACTGGTGAATGTCTGTGGAAAATATAAAACCAATCCCAGAGCAGTTGTGTTAGTTTACAGCAGGTGAAGTAACCAAGAATCTTGAGGCACCCTAAAAACTAACTGATGCATTGTGGTATAAGTTTAGGCTGGCTCACAGATCTCAGTGCCCAAACCTATGCTACAATAAAAATGTTAGTTTTTAAAGGTACAAGATTCTTTTTTTTTTTAAACCAGCCACTGAGCAAATGGTGCCAGCTACAGCACTGAAAATTCAGTCATGCTTGTATCAAGCTTCAAAACATAGCTGTTGAGCATGACCAAATGCAAGCTGTAAATGAAGTGTTTATTATGTGAGCGCTTGCCAAACCAAGAGCAAGCCAAATATACAAAACAAGGCTCAGCGTCACAAAAAATAACCCCCACCAGACATCACACCGAGCAAAACAAATATGTTTCCCCAATTTCAGTAGAAGTGAACAGTGCTTCTTATCCTGTATAAAAGAGCATTCCTCTTTGAAAATTGTGGGTGATTTCCCACAAGTGCTGCTCCGCGCTCACTCTTCTCTTTGGCCCAATGGTACGTGTCAATTTCACACAAGCTGCTGCGCGACCGCATTTTGCCCCGCAGCTTCGTGCGATTTTCCCCGTGTCTACTCAATCCTGTTTTTTGAGGATTGAGTAGACACGGGGAAAATCGCACAAAGCTGCGGGGCAAAATGCGGCCACGCAGCAGCTTGTGTGAAATTGACACGTACCATCGGGGCAAAAGGGAGGAGTGAGCGCGGATCGTTAGCTGTTACTGCTCACAATATTCACAGTTTCTATTTATTTAAACATATTTTAAAATAACACACAGTCTGCCCTTAAAATGACCAGTCCCCAGGTCATCTCACTTAAGAATATCAATAGGAGAACACTATCATTAGTCTACAATAAAGGGGGGAAATTGAAGAGAGGAGGTTGAGGCTTACCCGTGTATAACCGATGTCCTGCTTCATTTAGCATAAGGCAGCAGTAACTTCAGGAACAGAACAGTGACCTCAGGGACTAAGCAATCAAGCAGCTGTGTGATGGGAGGTGGTAAGTGATACGACTATGAATGGCCCCTTCTCTCTGTGTGCTGCTATTTGTGTCCCCATAGCAGAAAAAATAAAATCAACAAGAGGAGCGAACTATTTTTCAGCCGAACAACTCAAGTTTACTAATGAATAAAACTGTCGGGGCTCAAGCCAGTATTCCTAGAAATGAACTCAATTTGCAGCATGCGAAGAAATTCTCTAGTTGTTTGAGGGTTGAGTTCTCTAAAATGTGTTTTGGAATCACCTTTGATGTTAGTGCAATGCAGTTTCTGACTGAAGTGGTCACAATGGGAGATTTTAGAGTGTACTAACAGAAAGCAACCCATTTTCAGAGCAGTGAATAGAATGATGGTTGCAGTCATGTGCTCACCATGTGACTACAAGGCTCAGAGAGAAACAAATAATTTCATGAGTCACTTATGCAGACCCGAATTAGCCAAGCTGGAAAGTCAACTTGGATCGCCAGCTCTGGGTGAAGAAATTCCTGGAGATTTGGGGTTGGGAGCTGGGGAGAGTGCAGTTTGGGAAGGGGAGAAACCTCGGTGGGGCGTAAGACAATAGAATCTGCCCTTCAAACTAGCCATTTTCTCCCAAAGAACTGATCTTTGTAGTCTGGAGATCAATTATAAATCCAGGAGGTCTCAAGGCTCCACCTGGAGATTCACAACCCTAGGGTCAATGGTCAGAAAATTTCATCGCATAATAAGAAACACTTCTTTCCTAACAATCATACCCTCCCTAGAAAGAACTGGGCACTACAATGGTTAGTAGTAGCTTGGAAGATATTTAAAGAATGGTCCCTTGCCATGTGAACATGCTGCCCTACAATGAGTAAGACCCTCTGAATGACTGTATTGACAATGCAGTATTGACTGTAGACAGTGTAGACAATGTACAGTATGGTAGAGTACAGTAGTTACTGTAGACGATGACAATGTTGCCTACTACTCACTGTGGCTTTCCAGGTAGAGGTCTGAAATGTCCTCAGACAAACACGCACACAAACACCCCTTGCTGCAGATCACACAGTAAAGACCACATGCATCTTTACCCTGCACTTTCTCATACATTCATGTATGTTTCTTTACACACACAGCAACACCAGAGCAGTGTCAGAGCAGTCTTGAAGTATTTAGCAGTGGAACTGGATGTATGGCCTTGGCAAAATCAACTAATCTCAGACTGTGCAGGCTGAAAAGTCTAATCTTGAGTTCCTTAAGGAAAAGGCACAAAGAAACGTAACAACTAAATAGTTGGCAAATGGGCAGACCTTATCCTATGGTCTCACAGTACTGGGGGCTAATTGCAAAGTAACTGTGTTGCAATCTTATGTTCTGTTCACAGAACAGCCAGCAACAGAACTATAGCTGTAGAAACCCAAGAGATCTTAGCAACAATACCAGACACTCCCACAGAATCCCTGGAAACTCCACCTCCCAATCACAATGTTCCTTAGTAATGACTCCTTTACTTGTGCATGAAAGGACCGATCAATATGCAGTAAC